GGGATCCATATTATTTGGTATCAGATCAAAACCATAAAGGTTTTGATCTACGCCTCGCTAAGGATGTCAAAGCCTAAGATCCTTTTTATGAGCTTCTCGACTTTATTTATAACATCAAAATACATTTCCTTCATGCTATAACTAAAGGAAACTCAGTTTATATTTGTTTTCAGTTCATTGATAGTGTAAAGAAACTTGGCTTACTTGTTTAAACATTAAAATCACTGTCTATATTGAAATTAAAATCCATGTTATACAAAGATACAGGCTTACTAATATTATTGATACCTTGACAATGTCAGCTTAATGAGGGGGGCAGTATTAGGCTGTCTCCAGCACTCCCAAGGTACTACCGCGGTTACCTGTACTTCGTGACCGTCCTGGGCAATTAAGACCTGTATACCCTATACGGGGGGGAAGGGACCTACCCTTCCCCCCCCCCCCCGCTCTCGCCTCTCGCCCCTTCAAGTCGCGCGTGCGGCGCCAGCACATCTTACCTATAACTAAGTATGTAGTTACAAACCTATCTTGGCTTTACGTATTCACTGGGATCTTGTTGTATCTGTGTTAGTTTATGTGTTTTCGTAGGTGAGTTTATCTTCCTGTGGCTTTGAAGGCCGGCAGGAAGGTTTCATCGACGCCTCTACGTGTCTATTGCTCTTGACTGAGCCCAGCACACGACGTCGTTATAGCCCTTCGCTGTGACTGCCGTTGGATAAATACGAACGCCTCTTCTGGTTCGCCTTCACCGCTCTGATGGTGGACGCATTTTCGGTGATACATCCTTGCATCCATTTAAGTCAATATCTCCAGAAATGGTGGATGGAATGGCAGCTTAGCAAGTTCCCGCCAAAAGGATATGGTTTGATGTCCTTGCACCTAGCCTTTGGAGTGTAGACTTTATATCTACAGCGTCAAATGACAAGCTTTTTTGCCTAAACAGGTTTGGTAATTGAAATCGACGGAAGCTGTGTGAGATATAAAGAGGACAAAAATCTGGTCCAATTTCACTTACCACATATGGTACAGCCAATTAAATACGTGTATTGCACTAGTTAAAAAAAAATTAATTTGGCAAGATACTTTTGAAGCACATGTTTTTATATTTGAGTATACCGCCAGTGATATGTTTATATTTTAGCTTACAATTCCAATTAAGTTTTCGTTAAAAATAAACATTTAAGGAAAAAAAATGTAGGTAAAACCACAGAAATTTAAACTTTTGAATTTGTCAACTTGTTACCATGTCACTGATATAATCTTGCGTAAGCCACGCATTCTGTGTAAGGTTTATAATAGTGTATGATCGTAAATAAAATCCTGAACTGTCTTCGGCCTGTTCTAGATAATTGATGCTCATGTGAGTTTCCTAGTAATCATAAAGACAAACACACATTATCATAAAACACATACTTCCACACAAGATCCGCATGAATTCGATAAATTTCTTAGGCTGATGACGAAACTTCGTGAGACTGTTTGCACGCGACTGTACACAGCCGTAGACTCTGCCATGCCGACGTGGGCACCTATTCATAATTCATACTCATTCCACTCCACGTCTCCGTTTCTTCCACATCCCTTTGGCTCGCACCCTCGTTTGAAAACATTCGTACTGTCAGGCTTCATCGGGTTTATCGCTTCGCTTTGCTTACCCTCTTTGTCTGTCAAGTAAAGTCAAAGCGCTTCTTATCTTTAATATGTTTGCATTCCTTTGTGTAATTTCGTTTCATTGAATTTCAACGCTAATTATCAGAAATTAAATGAAGGTGTACCACCTTACTACCTGGCTGAAATTAGTGACAAATAAAACCGCCCGGCATAAATCTTCAACACTAAGCTTATGAATACAAAAATATTAAAGGTTTTTATTAATTCTATTTTTATTGCTAGTCTATGTATTTAAGATTAAACGCAAGTGAAGAGTTGGTAAGTTTATCGATGAATTATAAATTGTGTAAGGAGCTGGTATGTCGGATTATATTTGTGCTATGACGTTATCGACTAATTTTGACGAGGGACGAAATATTCTGGAAAATTTTCTAGTTACATAAATCTTGAACTCCACACTTGGGACAGGTTGTTAAAGATAATATCATATATTCAATCCAGATACATAACTAGAAATGACCTACCGAAGGAAAGCACAATCGAATTCAATTTTTTTGTAAGTCAAACGTCGCCTTACGGCTGCAGTAGTATTTTTAAGTACATTTTTTTATTTCTTTTATTTTTTGTTAATTTCAGTTTTTTTCCCTTTTATTATTTGCGTCTTTTTTTGGTAAATAAATGTATTTTCTTTCTAGTAACCCGCTAACAGCCGAAACAGTTTCCAGTTTCTTGATAATAAATATTTTTTTAAGGACAATTTACACAACGTTCTCTGGTCCCAAACTCTACTGTTGGTACTAGATAACTGATAAAAATACTTGAACATACTTTTCTTTTGTAAACAAATACATATTATACATATACGCAGACACTAGAAAAACGCTATGGTCATCACACAATATTTTTCCAGTAGTGGGGACCGAACCCAAATCCTATGGCGCAGGAGCTACCCTACCCACTATCCACTGCGCCATTCGGGTCGTCGATACTTATACATTACTTAATACTGGCTCTGTAAAAGCCCCTAAGGCAAATAGTGGTATATCGTACTCAATAAAAAAAATAGTATCGCAAAGAGGTATTGAAGACGGCAGAAATAGAGCTTTTCGAAAAAGTTCCCTTGTTATTTCCGAAGCGCTGTCACGTGTACACCGCACGGTGTAGGCGTACTGTACGCCGTTGGAAGTTTTTAATAAATTTTATATCACGCCAGTTTTATAGCGCCCTTAAACTTAACGAGATTTCATTTTTTAATATAAAACTGAAGCAGCTCTAGTGGCTTTTTAAAGTTTAACGAAAGGGAATATTTTCCATGCCCCACTTTATTGAATGTATTATTTTATTTTACTTTATTTTATTTTATTATTATGACCGATGCTTCCGATATTCCGAAGGTAAGGACAGACGATATCACTTTAAAATATGAAAAACCAAATAACCTTTTTTTATTTTGTGTTTGTGTTTTTCCATTTGTCCGTTTTCCGTGCTGTCGAAGTACTCGAATGTCCATGTCGTAACTTAAAGGGTAATAGTGTGCTAAAAATTATAGCTTTACTAAAATAAAATACGTAGGTCTAGACAAAATATAATAAAACATCGTAATAAAACAACTCTACACATTTATTTACAGTAAACTTTTTCTAACAGGTTTTGTATCAAGATGTCATTATTTATTTTAAAATTTGTGTATTTAATATTTCTCTTTTTATATTAATATGTCATTACTTCGATTAATGTGTGTCCTACAATAAAACAAAACATTCCACCGACCTGATATCAAATTCGATGCCTTTTTATTTGAGAAGGCGGCAAAGGAGCCGGTGGTTCACCTGATGTTATGTGACAACAAAGAAAGAAAAGCATAGTTATGCTGTAAGGCTGCCGGATCCCCTAGTAATCGTTATAGTTAATTTTTTGATACATATTTTCATCGAATTGTGCTTTTTACGTTTAAAAAGGTTGACGTTTTAAAAAGGTCACGTGTACGATTCTCGAAGCCTGTTAATAAATCACCGTTTTATACATAAATCAATTTAATTCATACATTTAACGGCCAATAACTTGAAATTATGGTTGTCTCATAGCGTTATCAAATTTTTTACTGCAGTCTGCTTTTAAAATTGGTCGTAACCAATTTTCTGTGTATCTTAGTCGTAATTTACCTTGTCGTTATTGTTCCTTCGCCTGCCTTCAAAACAGGTCGATTCAACAAATTTCTCAGTAATTGCTTATCATTAGAAATTGCTCATTAAACAAAAGGACCATTTGTGGAATTCTAAATAGATATTTTATTCTTATGACACTCTGTCAAAGTAATTTTCTCGCAGAATTTAGTTTCGCAGTTTATTAGAAAAATTCTCGAGCGGGAGAAGTATGTTATTACCTAAAGAATATTATACCGGTAAAGCTCCTTAAATCTTGAAAACACATGCAAATTTCTTGAATAATACACAAGTCACATGAATAAAATTAATGCAAAACACAAAGATCCTTCGACAATAAACGTGTGAATTAATTGTACACTTTGATATGAATAAAGCCGACAACGTGCATGTTTCACATGCGACTGATGCCAAACTCATTAAAAATGGACTAAGTTATGCACATATTACATTTGATTTTTATCGATTATAACTTGACAGATAAAATGTGCATATTTCGAAACGACCGGTACTAAAGTCACTACTAAACTAACACAGCGGGCCCGTTTTTGACTAAATACGGGGCTGCGTTCAACATACGATGCGGAATTCTGTAAATTTACTAAGCCTTTTTTGCCGTGACGGTGTGGATGAACAATAAAACGACGCTGCTGTTTGACTAACGACCAGTTTCTGAAACACTGATCGTAGAAGTCAACTAATCAACTGATTATTTGACTTCTACGACGATCAAAATTCATCATTCTTCTACGATAACCAACGAAAAAGGAAATCTAATCAGATTTTCATATGTTATTTGAGTTGTCAAAAGTATTGTTAAACTCTGAATTAGTCATTCGGATTGTTAAGAAGATCGTTTTGATCAACTCAAAGAGTTTAACAATACTTTTGGCAACTCAAATACCATTTGAATATCCATTTGACAGCTGGTTAATTGACTTCTACGATGATCAGTGTTTCAGAAACCGGGCGTTAGACTTTTTGAGTCTTCTAAGTCTTTTGTTGTCGCTCTTTACGAACGAAAAACCTTATGTTGCCGCGTTCGTTTTCTGTTCCTATTTGAGTCGTTGGTATTTCGATTATGTAACTGCATGTGGGTATTTGTTAACCTTAACTTGGGAACTGAATGCCGAATAAAGAGCAGTCTTGGTTCACTCACGCCCTTTATTCGGTATTATTCTTTATTAATCCAAATCAAACGGTAGTTATGTAACTAAGTCCACCCACTTGCGTAGTATCCCACGTCGTTGTTGACGTTGATGTGGCCGGCGTCCTCGGCCGCCAGCATGTGAGTGTCCCACACGGACCGGTACTCGGGGTCGTGGAGAACGTCGTACAGCGCGTCTGGCTCCACATCCTCGAACTTGGCGACCACCTGAAGATACGACTGTTCTTTAGGAAGAGACTTTGCTGCGCGATAAAGCTACGACCGATGGTAAGCGCGTATTGGGACCTTTGGTCAAAAAGCTGTCCTTGTCGCGTAGTAGACCCGAAAGCGTGAAAATCCTCAGCGAGCCTCGGGGTGGCTGTTGGGCTAATCGGGTGCTAAATTCGTGCTTTTATAAACGTTTAAATCATGAGGTATAATAAAACTAGCGACCCGTCTCGGCTTCGCACGGGTTTTATACATATAAACCTTCCTCTTGAATCACTCTATCTAGTAAAAAAAACCGCATCACGATCCGTTGCGTAGTTCTAAAGATCTAAGCAGACACAGGGACAGACAGACAGCTGAAGCGGGACGACTTTGTTTTATACTATGTAGTGATAAAAAATCATGCAATTATAAAAAGCAAAAACCCTGCAATTGCACTTGATTTTTTTTATGTGAAAAGTTGCCAAACGAACAGACGGTTCACCTGATGTTAAGTGAATACCGCCGCGCATGGACATCTGCCACACCCGAGGGTTACAGATGCGTTGACAACCTTTTGAAAATTGGGCTCCGGCTACCTCACTCACCAGACGAAACGCGAAAGTATATGTCATACTTCCACTTTACTCTGGTCTTCTGTGAGGTCGTGGTACTTACGGGCCTGCCCATTCGTGCAACAGCCGAGGCTGCTGCGTGGCCCTACCGTGATTTCTAAACAACTGCCATTTTGAGGCAACCGTATTATAGAAATAATATAAACTATAAAATTTAAATTTAATTGATATAAATATAAAGTTTTAAATTTTTCTGATTATTGCAAACGATTATTTAAAAAACATTTTTACTATAAATTTCATCAGATTATCATTGTGGTGATCAGTGGATGTTCGAACACTATTTTTTTCCAATAAACTGTATTTATTTTTACAGTGAACTGTTTTAATAGCAACTCGTTCATATTTTTTTATTTCATGTAACTTCTGAACGTATTCTTAGTGAGTAGCCAAATATATATACTTGATGCATACATGATTTTTTTTTATCTCAAACTCCGACTGATTTATGTTATATACATATAATTTTTCCCTTTACAATTTTAACGACATAGACGGTCTACGTAACCGATTATGAAATTTTAAATTGTATCGTTTCTGAATTATCTAATAATTCCGATAAAGCAGTACTCGTGTCTGTAGTATCGTACACATAGCTAATATTGATGGCTTGTTCTTGACCGAATTAAAAATATGCTTATGAATAAATAAGTAAATATTTATTACATGTGGACACATATTTCACCTTCACTTTCCCTAAGTCCTCCAAATTACCTACGAAAGCAGGCATTACGGTAATAATAATAACCATGCATGCGATCAAACCAAAAGAAATTGCAAAATGATCTTGGCTGAGACATGATATGTACATATCTAGTTAAGGTCTGGCTTCTATTATTAGTATCTATGTAAGTGTTTTAAGCTTTCTGTGAAACTAGAAAGCCAAGAAAACCAGTCTTTGTGTGAGTTTTAATTACAGTTCTGTAACTCTTTAACGTTACATGTCGAGTTCTTTGGCCTTGTCCTATTTTTTATTTTCCACCGTCCACTTTAGGAAAAAGTGGACGGTGGAAAATAAAAAATATACTTGCCGCTTTGTACAAAAATACGCTGAACAAGTATTAACGTGACATACTCCTAATATTTTGGTTTGTGTAGATTTTTTAACAAAGAAAGAGACAGTAAATATAATTAACATGAGAACGAAAAAGACGGAAGCACTCCTGGAGATAGATTAACCAGTCCACAGATTAGCGTAACGTGATGATTTCCTAAACTTGCGCGTAAAGTAACTGTGGTAGGGCCACGCAACAGTTTTCATTGTTGCACGAACGGGCAGTTCCATCCGGGTAAGTATCACGACCTCACAGAAGACCTGCGTAAAGTAGAAGTGTTACACTTCTGCGTTTCGTCTGGTCAGTGAGGTAACAGGAGCCCACTTTATTTAAAGGTGGCAATGCTTTGCCTTCTTCTTTTTCTTATTGCTTTAATTATGCCTTTTTATACCATTCGACATGTGTGAAAAAGTTATGATGAACGAAACCTGTGAATGTGTTTTCACTGTTTTTAGAGCACTTTTGACGTTTATTTTGTAAGCATTTTATCATGATAATGTCTATACGTTAAAATATCATTGCTTAACATTAAAAAAAACCCTGTTGAAATTATACACCGAATGCTGAAATTCATATTTTTTCCCTACGAGCTACTGTTTAAAAATTCTTCTGAACACTCACCATGGTGTTTTCTACCGCAAATTTTTAAGTGATATTTTTATTTCGCCACACTTCTCGGAATAGAATTACGAGAGAAATTTGCACATCACAAAGGGAATACCGACGACAATAATTCTTACAGAATACAAAACAGAATACATTCTGACAAAATACTTATCTCGCATTTCCGTTATTCTCGACAACGGCGAGTGGAAAATTTCTAAATTTGCGGACGTGACAGGCAGAAGTTACTTTTCACACTCCAACCGCAGTCCTTATTGAATCATTTTATCAATAACGAACTGCAGGGGTGGCTTTATCTTGTTTCAACACAATCTAATTCTTAAATAAAAACACTTTGAGAGTAAACATGGTCTTTTTGGCTTTAGTTTGGAAAAAAATATGTGAGTAAATTATGCGACACGCGTGCACAGCAACATGCAATTACCGCCATAAAATTAATCACATTATTAAATTACTTCAGTTTCAAACGCGAATTTGTAAAAACATTCTATATTCATATTTTCTTATCGTCACATCGGATACAAATCTCTAGCTGATATCCTTTTATGTTTATGTAAATGTAGACGCGGAGTTCCCGAATTATTTGAGCAATATGAAAGCAAAGAATTTTGCCGTAATTCACTTAGTCAAGTACCATTCATGCAGTGTACGTTAAAGCGCATTTTATTGGAATGATGTTGGCGTATGACGCGTCGATTTAAAATATCTTTGCTCAATATCTTCTTTCTCCTGCTCTTATACCACACTAGGTGGGGTCGGTAGAACATGTCCTTTCCTTCCACTTTCCTCTATCAGCCGTCATCTCTGACCCCTTTCACAGCCAGTTATCATTCCATTCTCCACACAGTCCATCCAAATCTTTCTCGGTCTTCTAGTAGATTTGCGTCACCCACCGACATTATAATAAACTTTTTGTACAAGCTGGCTCAAATACTGACTGAATTATGACTGAGTAGGTCAACTTATTAAAAGTGACATTCACTATAAGTGGTCACAGCCGCATAAGACCATCCACAGCACCTGGGTGCTTACCCTAGAATAGATCAATCCTCGTCAGACGAAACACGAAATAATTGCTTCAGGTACTTTATCAGGTCATTCGTGTCATTTCCGTCTTTATCATCAAGTCATTAACGTCTTTATCAGGTCATTGAGGTACATCTCATTCCTACCAGTAGCCTAGATAGCTCTATCACGATGAGAACGTTGCTAGCGATGTTTCGTTGCGAAAGTGTTTCATTAGCTTTATGAATTCGAGCAATTTACGGCAAGCAATCCCTATGGACGTCATTAGACTGGCTCAGTACGTGAAAACAGATAACCATTGCTGCTAAATGTGACTCATTAACTGGAATATTATTATTATTATTATATATTTTATTGTACACCACAAAGAATTTGATACAATTAGTATGAAATAAGTCTTAAAAGCTTGGTACAATAAGGCGGTCTTATCGCTAAAAAGCGATCTCTTCCAGACAACCTTAGGACGAGGAAAAATAAACTAATGAATAGTGGGAGGTGGTGTGCTCAATAAACTTACTTAATACCAAAATAGACTTAAATATAATAAGATAAACAAAATTATAATAAACATACATAAACATAAATAAATATATAATATATATAAATAAATACACGAGAGAAGAATTAAATCTAAATATTGCCATTAAAAACTATGGATTACAAAGCGATAGATAATGTTGTTTTACGTCAATTTTAAACTTGTCTAGCGTCTTCGAACGACGAATTTGCTGAGGAAGTTCATTCCACAAGCAGATGGCCTTAACTGTAAAGGAGTTCTTATAATATTTAGTTTTGTACGCATGTGGTGCTAGAATTAGATCTTCAGCTGATCGCAGAACTCGTTCTGGATGGTTATGGCCAAGAAACTTAAAGTGTTCCTTTAAATAGCTTGGAGTCCTAGGGTTAAATAATACACAGTACAGAAGAGAGACAGTGTGTAGATTCCGGCGAAAACGAATGGGTAACCACTTGAGCATTGAACGAAATTCGGAAACGTGATCATATTTGCGTAAACCAAATATGAACCTAATGGCTAAATTTTGAATACGCTCAAGTTTATTTAGTTGTTCTTCGGTTAAATCAAGATAGCTTGCATCCGCATAGTCGAGAATGGACAGGAGTAAGGATTGTGCTAGCATAATTTTAGTTGGAATGGGAAGAAAAGAACGTAAACGACGGAGAGAACCCATCGCAGCAAATGTTTTTTCGGCTCACTTGATTCAATTGTTCCGACCACGAGAGGGAATTGTCAAATTGGACACCAAGATTTTTCACAGTGGTGCAGTACGGTATTATAACGTCATTTAATTTTACCAAAGGAAGGTTATTCCAGTCAACTCTTGAAATCAAACCAACACCACCAACAATAATAGCCTGGGACTTAGTAGGGTTAACATTGAGACCATAGACCATTTACTCCATTCACTGACAGCGGCCAGGTCATCATTGATGGTGGAAACAGCAGTAGGCAAGTCTTCAAGAGTTGACTGTGTGTACACTTGGAGATCGTCTGCATACATGTGATAGAGAGAAGTGATTTTTTGAGAAATTGAATTAATGAATACGGCAAATAGAAGAGGAGACAACACACCACCTTGAGGCACTCCGGCGCGCAATTCACACCAAGACGAGAATTCATCCTCTACGCGAATACGCTGCCGTCGGCCACTTAAATAACTTT